GGGAAAATACTTACATATAACGCCAACGGCCTCCTACACAGTAATACAAACAGTAGGCCTAGACCTACCTAGTGTGTAGGCCTGCTACAGCCTAAGCTAGTGCAACAAACTTTTAATGTGATGATGTGTAAACCTGGCCTACTAGACTAGATATTATTACTAATAATACTGCCTAGGCCTAGTACACAAACTATAATATATAGTTATACTGTTACTTTTTCATGAACGGAAGAAAACTGTTTGAAATAGGCATACTCAGTATACCACCAGTTGGCATTACTGCAAATTGCCTAGTAACAGTGAATTCAGTGAGAAACGTTCCCATACAAGTAGGTTCCCACGATCGGGAGAAACATGGGGGAAAGCAGACACAAGGTCAGTCACATCTTTAAACGCCGCCAACAACGCAGGAATGTAGACGTGCTAGTGTCTGATCTGATTCTTTGAACGCCGCCTTCAGGAATGTATACGCGCTGCTGCTTCGCAAGGAGGAGCCGACTGCCTTGTTCAGCATACAAACATGTGCCATGGTTTCAGTGGTAGGAGTTGTTCGGCTTAATTTTAGCGAGATGGGGCTTTATTTTAGCGAGATGGTGCTTTTTTTGAACGTTCACTTCTTACTTTTCATTTTAATTCAGTCATTGATCATCATAATAAATAATTAACTTTGTTGTTTCTATAACCTTTATGTTTGCTTTCTTTTGTGTGTTATAACCTTTTTTTTCAAAGACGTGCACACTCACTGAATGAATGGGTATGTTGTGGGCTTATTCACTGCAAACATCAACGTAAACATGGGTATTAATTTTATTTATTTTGTCTTTTTTTTACGATGCTGGACTATCATAGGCCTAATATTCTTTGTATTTTTTTAGTATGATTCAGTGTTTTAAGTTTTTTACATTTGTTATATTACAAGTAATTTGAATATAATTTTACCGTGTTTTTTTTTTCTTACAGATTCAGAAGTGAAAATCAAGTACATATTATTTGTATTTATCAATTTATGAATTATTCATAATAAAGGCCTTGGAATTTTGTTACGATTATGAGTTAATTTGTTTAATCAAACATACTTTTATATCAGAATATTAAAATATATTATTTGTAATTCCATTTAAACTATAATATTTTACAATTCATGTATTTTTTTCATAAATATGATCATCAGATTGATGATATACCATTGGCTGTAGGAACAAACGTATATCCTAACAATTTTACTATGTTTGGATGAGGGGTAACAGAAAGCATCATTTTTGCTTCTCGGAATACCGTTGCTCTAAGCTTTTCATCACTGAGGCCCTCAACATTTTTTAAACACCTTCACGGCTACATTATCATTTCGATAGCGATATAAGTGCACAC